ATGCCAAATTAAGAGGTCAAATCATTTTCCATCAAGAAATTTTTGAACTTACTTTTGAGGTGCAATATATGTTAGGGTACCCTACGGAAAAGTACTACTTTATTGCGCGTTTCTCTTATCCGTTTTCCTAAAAACGCGGAAAAAACGTTTTTGGATCATTCACATAAAGATTTTCGATTTGACTGACCATCTCAGTTAAATGAAAGTTATATTTTGAATACAGAAGAATTGTTTACTAATCGAGGCCCATTCAAGCCTTCGATGTTGCGATCATTTTTCTCTACACACCAGTCTGTGATGCTAGCTTCTTATGCTCCTCATTATGCACAACCATATGAAAGTGTTAAAGATGAGTTGCATGAGTGTTTATTATTCGGAGTCCAATATCGGTACTTGATTAGATGGAGAGATCATCCCCCTTGGCCGGATCATATTCTTGGGAATACGTTGCTGTTTTCGTTACTATCAAACGTAGAGTTTCGATATTTGGTTCTTACGAAAGACCGTTCCCTGTGGTAGAAGTTTATCAACTCGATAGGGTCGAGTTTTTCTCCTACCCCGGGAGAGTTGATGCGGACATCACGATTTATGTTATTGTTGATTTTTATTAATTACGTTATTATTATTATTGGGTTGGCCCAAACCCGTCACTAGTAGGTTAAGTTTTTTGTTTACTATTTATATGGTTTTTCCATTGTAATTGCGACAGTTGATGAATATGATGATGAATGAAATGGCTTTGCTTGGAGCAAACGTTTTCTTCCTATCCCTTTCCCCCTAAATTTCCGTTTCTTCTCGCTTCTTCCCCCGTTCTTTCTGGTTTCTTTCTCCCTTCTTGCTGCCTTCTCTTTATCCTACATCACATTTCCAGTGATTAGTCATAAAGAAACGCCTCTCTACTGCAAATCATCTTTCTTGAGAAACTATTTTGTTGGGACTCTGCTTCAGGGGGGAGAGGAGGGTGGGGGCTGCAAGAGATGATTATTAGTATTGTCTCAGTCATCATCTTTTTTGTTCCCTTGACAAATTTAGTCTATTATTCCAGGAAGCATGTATGCGTATGCCTTTTCCTGATCTTGTCAAGTGGTTCAGTCTCCAAAGTGGTAAGTCTTTGTTTTTATCTTCCTCATTGCTATATGCAGAAGCTTTTTAGTTTCCAATCAGTGATGTTCAAGAAATTGTTTGTACCAGATATAGGTGGGTGTCAAAAAGTTCCTCATAGTCGCACCATTCTTCCTTTAAAGAACAGTAGAACATAAGTATTGATTTCTTTATTGGTGGTTGTAAATTTTTGAACTCAGCATTCCATTTCTTTATAGTAACATTTTTTGCAGGTCGAGTTTTATTGGGTAGCTAATCTATTCCACTTGAATGGGTTCCCTGCATATTTCTTTAGTTGGAAAAGGCAAGTTTCCTTTACACTATCCAAAATATAGTTCGAGTCCAAAGTTGTCAAATTTTCGAGCCTAGGTGCTTTTAGTTCTCTCACTTTATAATTCTATTTATTTTGTCCAAGATTTTTATCTGCCTTGGACTGTTTCACTTAATCTCTCTTGTTTTTTATTTTTTATTTAGTCTGGAGCTGCAGTTATCTACTATATCCAATGGTGCATATCAGTCCGGGGATGCTGAGCTCTTGAAGTAAGTATGATCTTGAACATATTCGTGCTCTCAAAAACAGTATGATTTGAATGTTGTGCATGCAGAACTTTACTCTTAAAATCACCTCCTATGATCCATGTGGGGATTAATTTTAACTTGTTAGATTTGAAAGAAATCTGGTTGTTTGATGCTTTATGTTAGAGGACAAAACGCAAACCTGATAGCAACACAGGAACACATTGTTACTAGACCTTTGGAATTTGCCAAAAATCAAATGATTGTCAATGCTCTACTGACCTGTTCCTCATTTCCTTCAATTCAAATTCTGAATTTCGTAGCTTAAAACATAATATCCTTGATTTGTACTTGACACCCTTGTATAAATGAATATTCAATTAATCCATCAGCTGTTACCAATTGAGAACTCTGCTTTAATGTTGATGGATAGGATGGTTAATGGATTTTAGTTCCTTCATTTTCGATGACATTTTACATAGTTAGATTTCAGATATCAGAAACAATTCTATGGATAATGAAGCTCTGATGTACTTCGTGCATCGCAATTCTATGGAAAGTTAGATTTCAGATATTGGAAGCAATTCCATGGGAAAAAAAAAAAAATCTGAAACAGTAAACACCTAGTCGGTTTAATTTCTTTATTTTCTTGTCTTGTCTTGTTTTCATGCTTGAGTTTCATCTTAGCATTTTTCTTACGAGGTTGAGTGTTTGTGTGCAGAAGTTCTATTTAGGCTATCCAGTTCGCTGGATGATGGAATGGTCCGAATGCTGACCAAGATTCACTCTGTGACTTATCAAGCCACCTCTGCTCCATGGCAGGCTTTGGTAATGCTGGGACGAAACTTGGTGGTAATTTGGAAGCCCTTTGTGTGCTGGTTCACTGCTTTATACACTTTCCTCAGATGTAGTGCTTCTGTGCTTATATTGAATTTAAGTTCTCATTTGCGTATCTGCCTGACTGTCCTAAGGTGCAACCTCGCTGCAATATTTTGTGGGACGGGATGGTTTTTGTGCCCATCAATGTGCTCGGTATGGCAATCTATAATTATGACGCTACCTTATTAGATGGGAGTCGTATTATCAAGCAATGAAACTTTCTTTAGCCTCTTTGTTTTCCTGCCCTATGTAATGATTTATCAAACTGGAATTCTTTGATCTATGTATAGGGTTGTGAAATTGGACTTGTCGATCGGAATGGTAGGGTTAGTTCAAGCCTGGTACAATCCGAGCTAGGCTCACATCTGCCAGTGGACCTGCCGATGTTGTGGGCCAGTCCATTGTTAGTTTGATACCCTTTTTGTAGTAAGTATATTGTAATGACATTATGAATTAACATTCAATTATTCACGTGTTAGAATTTGCGACAATAATCAAAGGTTCCATGATCATATGAAATAACAAATTGTATACTCGACGATTTGAGTATAGTGAGACACAATTCGTTATATGATGAAAATATGTCGTTCGCAATCGGTACATGAAGTTTGACGCTTTATGTTGATAAGATTGCATTGTTCTTATTGAGATTTGTCTAGATCTGGGAATAAGAACAATAA